GAGGATGCCGTGGTGGCTCTCTGGCTCGTCTCCGCTCCGTCAGCCTGATGCGCTGCGACAGTTCTGCTGAATTGCTGACCCGAGGGGCTGCACGGGGCTATTTATGGAGATGGAAAGCTGGGGGACACCAGGCAGGAGGCCAGCCTGAGATGTCTGCAGCCAAGTGCAGGTCATCTTTGGGGTTCCTTGGGTGGCTTGGACGGACAATGCGCTGTTTGGTGAAGGTCATGGGAAAACCCTCACGGGAATTCTGGTTTATATGAGGGCAGTGCCTTGGCCCTGGGGTTGGATCCTGTTTGCAGGAGCAGGTTGGGTTTGGTGGCAGGCATCTGCATGGCGGACCGTGGGCCATCCTCTAGTTTTAACTTGGGTTTCCTCTGGCCCCACAGCTTAGAAGCAGCCCAGATGCTGATAGCACAGTCTATTTTTAGACCGTGGTTGTGATCAAGTTTTCCTTTTGCGGAGAAATGCCAAACCATTAAAGCAGACCCCTGAGTAGAGGGCAGCACCCGTTAGCTGCTCTGCTATCCTCCAGGTTTATTTTTATCTTGCACCTCCAGCGCAGCAGTCTGGGAGCTAGCAGAGGAGGACTGAAGACCTTCAATAATTCATAGCTCCTACATTTTGCTCCCAGGGATCAGAAAAGCGAGCTGCTGGAAGGGCGCTGCCAGAAACCCTCTCTATCCACACTGCAGGACCCTGCCTGGGCGACACGGCCGCCGCGCTCGCGCGCTGCCCTGCCCTTTTTTTGTGTCTGGGACTTTGTGCAGGCTTGTTGGGCTCCGACCGGGGAGGGGACCCTGGGTGGTCCCGGGGCAGCAGTGCTCTCAGCGGGATGGAGTTTGGGGCTGGGGAGCAGTGGGGACACGGCAGCGTGTGCGTGTCCGCTGCAGCGTGCTCGGGACCGACCCACTGTTGTACAAACACGTGCTGTAAACTTCATCCCGGGCTGTCGGCTCCTCGGTGTTCAAATAGCTCCTGGAATAATCTGTGCGGGCTGAGCCTGAGGGGAATTTCCTAGAGCTCCCAGGAGCAGGGGCTTTGCTGCCATATCAGGCTTTTCCTTTTAATTAAAAGCAGTATTAGAACCAGGACACGCTTTGCGTTTGATTATGGAGCAGAGTCGATCTGTGGGATGGTGCTGTGTCTGGTGGAAGTGCGTTTTGTCCCCAAAGCCTCACGTGCATGCCAGCGAGGCTCTGCAGACCACAGCATCCTTCCTTGCTCCCACCTGCCTGCGAGCCAGCGCCTACCAAGTGCGGGTGCAGAGGATTTTGGGATGGGAGATGAGCCCTGGCAGCGGGAGAGAGCAGGTCGGAAGAGGACAGCGTGCCTCTGCTACGTGCTTGCCCATCCCAGCAGAGAGATGCTGACAGATGAGGGGACTCCACCTTGAAAACTGAACCAGCCCCTCCCTCGCGCTGCCCTGCGAACACGGGCGCTGCTGGATTCGGCTTTGGACCTTGTGGTCCTGGAAGGCTCAGAGATGCGTCTGGAGCGTCCACCTTTCACAGCATCTGGGAAGCTGCTCACCCACAAGATGCTGAAGTCCTTCAGGATCTGCTCCGCGCGGATGGAGGAGCTGAGTTTCAGCTGCTTTGGCAAAGCACAGGGCGAGCCAAGAGTTACAGAGCCTGGTTTCGTTTACGTGTGTGGGTGGCTGGTGCCTTGTGCCTTCTGACTTGCTGCTCCGTCTTGGCTCGCAGCTCTGCTCCCACTGACAGCTTTATGGGGTGTTAAATTACTTCCAGGGTCCACCTGATGCTCCCGTCGCAGCTTGGCACGTGCAGCACAGGAGCCAGGAAAAGCAAATTCAAAAGAGCTTTTGCTCTCTCTGAGCAGGAGCAAGGGCAGGCTGCAGTGGTGGCTGCTGGTGGTGCCTCTCACCTTTCCTCCCCAGTACTGGTGGGAGCAGCTGGTTTATCGGGGGCCAAATGCCGCCTTCTGTCCTCGCGGTGCTTGCGAGAAGCTTCTCAGCTTTGCTGCTTTCTCCGCTGTCTCCTGAACAGGCCTGCCATGCATGGGCTTTTTGTCATCTTACTCTTTAAATATTATCCACCCTAAAATATCCCTGGGATTTGTTCTCTCGGGGAGCACAGTCCAAAACTTACAGGCGCATCTTTTGGTTAAACTGAGTGATGGATTGATTTCCTCAGCCGTATTTATTGTGCGCCGATCGCTGTTAGCTTGCCTGTGATCTTGGGTGTCCACGTTTGCATCCCTGTGTGTGTTTGTCTGTGTTGTTTTTCTCCCACTGTGAGCTGTGGCTTGCCTTAATTTGGTTGACTAAACCCGCTGTGTTGCTGATCTGTAATGAGACACTGTTGACCAGACTATCCAGGTTGTACCCTTCAAAATGGTGTGTTCCTTACCCTGGAAGAGAGCGGGGTTTGCTGCGCTGCCCCTCGCGTGGGGCAGGCTTTTCGCTGCTGTCGGTCGTCTGTCCGCAGGGTCAGGGCGTGCGTGAGCTGATCCATTCTGGTTCAGCATCACGAAGAAATGCCGGGTGCGGGGAGTCCCCCAGCAAGAGCAGAGCTGCTGCCGTGGCCCGAGGGCCAGTGGGGTGTGCACGGTGTGGCACCGAGGGCTGGCCCTTGCTGTTTGCAAGGAGCCGTGTGAGGCATCGACGCTGTGTTCCACACTGACTCTGTGTCCACGTCGCGACTGGGGACATGGGGTGACGCAGCACTGGAACAGGCTGCCCAGGGAGGTTGTGGAGTCTCCTTCTCTGGAGAGAACCCGCCTGGACGCGGTCCTGTGCAGCCTGCTGTAGGTGACCGTGCTTTGGCAGGGGGGTTGGACTGGGTGACCCACAGAGGTCCCTTCGAACCCTGAACATTCTGTGATCTGTGACGTCCATGGTTGCTATTGCTAAATGATAAGAGAGATTTCCAGCTGGCGAGCTCGCTAAACGTGTCCTTTTGTGCTACTGGTTGCAGGTGGTTGCTGATAAACACAGGACCTCATAGTTATTCTGCTGATGCCTGTCTGATCCCTGTCTTTAACTGCTTTTTACTTGTAGGTTGTTAAAGGTCTGGGGGCAGTGGGGGAAAGGAAGTTGAGGATATTGGTTGTTAAAGGTCTGGGAGGAAAGAAAAAAAGGAAAGGGGGAGAAAAAAAATGTTGAGGGTGTAGGGTGGGTGAAAAATGTCACGTTAAAATCAGCTCTTGTGAAGGCTGAAGCAAAGGGCTGGCAGCACCTCCCAGCTTCCCCGGCAGTGCGTTGCTCAGCTTTGCAGCCAGGTCCCCATTTCGGACGTTGGTGGTGGTGACCTGGGCGTGTTACTGCAGCACTGAAGTCCCTTCCCTTTGCCTCGTGCAGTTGCTCTAAAGAATTGCGGCGCCAAAGAAGCGGAGAGAGATGGAGACTGTGGCAACGGACCAGCTCCGGGCTCGGCAGCGGTACCGGAGGGTGAGCTGCTCCTACAGGTTAGTGCTCCTCGCGGGCAGACACCTTCAAGGGGTTTTCCTCTTGTCCCCTTTGCAGCTCCTTTGAATTTCATCCAAGGAGCAGGCTGTTCGTTACTGATTGCAGGATGTTTTGGTGAAGCAGAGATTTCACATGGTGTAGCTCATAATGCTGCTGAGCGAGCAGAGGTTTAAGACCTCTTCAGGTCCCTGGGGCAGAAGGTGTGTTGTTTCTCCTCTCCTTTTCCCATCCTTCCTGGAGAACATTGCCACCTGTAAATCGTTTGGGTCTGAGAACCCCCTCCATCTCAGTGGAAGCAGTGCTGAACTTCTCACCACGGAGATCCAGCTCTTCTGCTTCTCTGCCCATGTGCGTAAATGGGCTGTAGGTGTGACACGGGAGCCAAGCAAAGCAAGAGGTTTTGAGTGTGGTTTTCAACGTGGGCACACTGGTCCTGACTCGGGGATGTTGTCCAAACGCTGGTGAAAACAGGAAAGAAAACGCCATGGAAGTCTTCCCTGGCTTTCAGGCAGCGATGCGTGACACCGAGTACATAGATAGGTGCTGATGGGCCATACGCCTAGCCCGTGTGCACAGGGTACGTGGATGTATCCTGGGAGCTCCGCGCGAGGCGTGTAGCTGGCTCCTCTGGTGACGCTGGAGGCCACGCTGGTGATGCTGCAGCACGGCTGGGCTGAGCCTGCTGCTCCCATGGTTTGTTCAGAGACGCCGGGAGATGACCTCCTGTCTCCAAACCACGCGTGGTGAAGGGGAGGAGGTCAGGCTCCAGCAGCGCGAGGTCCTGTGAGGACGCGGGTCTTCTCCTTTCTTCCCTGCCTGGCACTCGAGCGCGGGCTGCAGCGCTGTCCCCTGCCTGGCAGTTGTCCAGAGCCGGGCGAGCGTGCTGTTCAGCTCCAGCTCCTTTCCAAAAGCTCGCTCGGCTCTCAGCAGTAACTGTAATCACTGTCCTGGTTGAGAGCCGACGAGCCGGGATCTCAGTGTATAGTGTGAGAAATGCTAAAGCCAAGGCGGTTAATAACGGAAAAATGGAGGGGTTTCCACTGTGGATATAACAAAACTGTGCTCAGCAGGGCTCGCTGGGGACTGATGTCCCGCTTATCAACTCGATTCCATCCCTGCAGAGGTACCAATCTGGGTCTTAAAAGCTCTGGGTTTAGGTTTGGTTCTTCCAGGGGCCTGTCTGTGTGATGCTGGACACAGCAGGGGCTCAGAACCTGCCTCCGTGCCACAAGAAAACGCTGCTACGTGTTTAAAAGACTGCTCCCACCTGGTCTGTCACCTTCGACGTCCAAACTTCCTTTGTCTTGTCTCTTCGTCCACCCTGATTCTTCCCTGCCTCTCCTCTGATTTTCCAGACTTAACTTATTTTGGCCTGTCCTTTTCCACCGAGACTCTCTCCAGCAGCAATCTCGGCAGAAGAAGGTACCTTAAACTAAGGATGCAGATCCCTCTAAAGGGGCCAAGGCCTTGGGAAGGCTGAGAACCGGGCGGAGCAGCTCTGCCCAGGCGCGCAGCCGTGCAGGTACACTTCGCAGGGTGTTAGATCGGCCCGCTGCTCGGTGCCGTTCGGGAAGGACAGACTGCCGCAAGATGTTGCGTGCTGCTGCCGTGGCGAAGCGGTGCCTCCGAAGCTGCTCGAAGGGTTAAAGTGCACTTGGCAGCACTAATTAACCTCTGCGGCAGATTCCCACACACTGAGATCAACCCCGGTAAATAGAGAGAGCGTTTGTGTCCAGAATAAAGGGAAGGAGAGGGGGGGAGAAACACCGACCTGGACAATGAAACAGGAGTTGGCACCAACAATAGCTGGACTTGGCTGAGGCTGCTCGTTACATCCTAATTAATCCTGATGTCTATACATTACAAAGAGGGGGAAGCAGGCCAGGGCTGGCTACGGCGGCTTCCCTGCCTGCAGCCAGGTTAGTGGTGCAGGACGGTTTGGGGTCTGGCCAGCAGGTCGAGGGAGGTTCTCCTTCCCCTCTACTCTGCCCTACTGAGGCCCCATCTGGAGTACTCTGTCCAGTTCTGGGCTCCCCAGTTCAAGAAAGATGAAGAGCTACTGGAGAGAGTCCAGCGGAGGGCTACAAGGATGATGAGGGGACTGGA